TGCAAAGGTAAAAATTTAAGATAGAAAACTCTGGCTTTTATAATTATTAATTGAATAAAAGTCCTTTAAATTAAAGTCCAAACCTTAACGTTGTTAAATTAAGTATTTTGTTTACTGACAGAGTCCGTGGTACGCCAGATGTTAAAAAGGTATTTTCCTTTCCAAAACTTTGCCACCGGACGTCTTCAGCTCTTCTTCTCGGTTGTCTTATGTATTTTAACAACGAGTCCCACCATCCTACCCCAAAATCTACCCAATGTACAAGAGCCCAGGAGTTGAATAAGTCTTCTGGCCTGCGTAGGAATTATCTTTGGCAAATAATCTTCCTTTTTTGAGGACGTGTCCTGCAAAAATCAACATTTTTACAACTCTCCTAGGATTCGCTTTTCCCATATCTTCATGGTGTATGTGACATATCACGGTAATTCAAGACGTAAATAGCAGTGGTTGTAAAAGTAAGAATCTACAACCGACAAAGCATAAACTCTGGCGATAAGTCATGAATCGGTTGTTCAAAGACGCACGCTTTGAATAACCATAAAATGAACCTTCCTTTTGTTTCTGTTGATAGTGTTGTGGGTTAGGCCATTGAACTGCTGTAAGATAGACTACTAAACTTAACAATAGAACTGCTCAGGAAACGCGTTAAAACCCGAGAATAGAACACAAGTGTGTCAGTTAACCCTTTGTTGTGAGATTTGTTTTCGATTTAAGATTGAAGGGGAAATCGGTTGGGGTTTTAACAAAGTTTTGTGCACTATTCTGTTAAGTTTGGTCAAATATTTAATCAAAAATGCATAATTTAAGTTACATTGACGTAAAAATATATTATTGTGTGCTTTGGGGTTTACAGTATCTATCAACACTAGATCAATTAATGTCAAATGTTAAATGAGGCGTTTTCAATAATAACAATTTAAGTAAAATATTCACGATTTGTTTTTACATCAATTACTGTCTCGAACAATGCTGTTTTCAGGTTTTGCGTTCCTAGGTGTTTCTAGATTCGTGTACCAATCTTCTTTCCCTCTGGGTTCCCTCTCACCCGAAGACGAGTCTCTGGGGTCAGATTCTCTATCCTAAGACATCTTTAAAATCGTGGTTGGGTAATTATTGAGGGAAAACGTCCGTATCCTAAAAGAAGCTTCTATAGATATTGGAGTAATTAAGCTAAGGTTAATTAGTAATTAAGCTAATCACTTGTCCTTCAAGGTGAACTTAGAAGTAGAACCAAGGGAGTTTACAGATCGTAAAACACGTCGACGATGAAATCAACTTTAAGTTGCTCTTGTTGTAACGGTAACCGGTAACATGTTTCACCTGGAGGTCGCGGTTGGAAGTCACAGTTCCACACACGGTGCCGTTCACCCTGACTGATAAGATAATGGTATTTACTGTAGAGGTTGCAACATTGTTAAGCTCTGATAACATCAGTCAGATACCGTTTGGTCGCGTTACTCGTCACAGGGCTGGGGTTGTGTTTTGGTTTCTAGACTTAGCTAAATAAAAGCACAGAATGAAGGCTAGCCATGTCTTATGCTGTTAGAAAAATCAGCAGAGTCAGTTTTTCATTTAATTTATTGCATAGTTGCTAAAGATCACATGTATTTAATGTTTAACATATTTCTTTGGGAGTGGCCGGGTGTTTGTAGTGTTAACTGTAAAATCTGGAGATTATTGGTTTGATCCCAAGCTTGGTCGACATTAGATAGTAACAAGTTTATAACTCTAGGTTAACCAAAATGTTCCTAAACGTTTGAGAGTCAATTTGAGTCACTACACCGAGATTAGGTAATGTGGGTAGCAAACGTCCACATTATCTCCCACTCTAACTTGAAAACCGCTCACGACCATCATCAGACGCACCATTCGCTTCGCCCCAGTTGGCCAATGATCATTTAGCGATTGAGCGTGCAACTTATAATCAGCTGGGCTAGCAGATCTGCATACAGCTGTGCTGCTGCGGCAGGCGAGACATAACCATGTAACCGCACTTTCTCGGCCATATACGGGCACTGACTCACCGGTGTGGACCGGTTTCTCACGTTTCGTCAGCTGATTTGTTTACGCCGATAGTTGTATTTACATAAATCAGCTGTACGGTACACGCAGCTCGGTTTAATATTCATCAGCTGGTAGTCCCTTTGATCGGCCGTCGATAAGTCACCGATGCTACTTATGGAGCATCGCTTGCTGTGTGGGTTGGAATTGGAGAGAGATTAGAGGCGTTTTGTAGAAGATTATGGTTTCTATAGTGTGTTTAGAATTGAACTGGGTTTTGGGAATGGTGGATATTTCACCGTGTCATCTTTGACTATAGAATGATTTCTAGTTTAAAATTTTCACTAGTTTTAGAATAAAAAAACTTTTTAATTGAGCTCTGAACAAAGTGTGCTGCTTTCAATCAGTTTTCAAATCATTTTTGATGGGAAAATGTGTTTTTCATTATCAAAGGAAAAACCATGCTATACGAATACTTGCAATAAAACACGTTAAAGATTATAATAAATTAACTAATCAAGCAAAACTATACAACAACCATATAAGTAGCCTACATAACTACTCGTTGAACAGTTTCCAAGAGAGTTACTATAGGAGCCGTATAAATACATCTTAATTCAAAATAATTGTTCCCCGTCGCTATTTCATTCCCATATAAGGATCGGAAAGCAAGTACAAAGTGATATGAATGAATAACACGTCATGTTTGATTGTGATAAGGCAGCGTCAGCAATGGTGATATCATAGTGATATCGCGTTCATATTGTTAAGTGTGCACAATATCAGTTGATATTGTATAATGTAGTCATTATAGAACACGTCTAGATGGACCTCCCTTTCAAAGTGACTTGAGTTCTAATCCGTTTATAAAACGAATGTGTTTAACTACTAGTGGTTCGGAACCCACCATTAAGTTGTAAATTCGCTTATAAAGTATAAAAGATATTTCCTTAGGAAAAGACATATCCATAAACGGAAACCCCATGAAAAATCACAAAAGAATAATGATACATAATTGTTATACGACTCGCGTATGCAACCATTGAGTAAAATGTATACAAAACATGTTCCAAACATGTCTGCACAGATACGGGCATGTTAACAAAGTAAATGAAGTAGTGAAGTGACGGAGATATGAGTTGACTGCAACCCAATCTTCGAGTTATTGGGAAAGACGCTAAGCAGGGACGACGTTCGCCTTCAAACTTTTAACATGGCGTCGCACATAGGTTTCTCATATTCTGTGGAAACCGGAGTATATCTTATTGTGTTTTCCGGTGTCTGAAGGTTCTTCGAATTTATTAGTAACGAATCAAAAATCATAGTATAAAATTCATCTTACATATTTGTACACTTAAAATATTGGTGAAGGTTTTAGGGGTTTAATTTCTGTAATCAGGAGAGAGGGGGGTTCTGTTAACATATCACATTGATGCTCACGTATTTCAAACGTATTCTATATTGTTTTACAGATGAATATATGTTTGACGATCTTAGCATTAACCGGACTAGTCAGGTTTTACCCGATGAGTTGAGCGATTGATTGTAAAAGTCAATTAACTAAACTCTAAAATTGTTTCATAAGGTAATAAATCAAAACCAGCAAACAGGTTTGTTACAACATTGGTTTAGAGCATACACTTTAGAGAGCTATTTATTTAATCGTGATTTATTGTGGAAACGTGCTGTGGTCATTAGAACGCTTTTGCAAAAACCAAGTTGAACATTCGTAAATGGTAATGAATTGCGAGATATAAGCTTTGATCAGAGAGGACATTATGAAGTCAGCTTGGCAACCATACGATTTTGTTGAATGAAGCATCAGAGAGGATAGGAAAAAATGAGAATAGTGTATGATTAGAATGAAGCTTAAAATTCGTAAGTGAATGTTCATTCATCGAGTAGATGATTCCCTAAATCGTAAGCGAGACATGGAGTTATGAATGAGTTACCTGATGGTGAAGATTTGTGAATGGTCTTACATTGAGTGGAATATTCCCTGATTGGAGTAGGTTGGGGAAATGAGTTATTATTATTATTATAAAAATAAATTGGGATGGAGACGCCACCTAGAAGTGTATTATGAGTGAGGAGTGAGTGGAGAATGGAGTGAGGTGATCTTTGTAGCTTTGTTTCTGATTAAGATCAGTTTAAAGCCCAATGATCATGAACAGCTGGGTCCAGTTTCGAACCATCAAAAAGCAACTGACTTTTCTCAGAAATCGATTCGGTAACCTTTTGATAGCTAGGCTAGCATTAACCATTCAGCTACCTAGCCAGTTGAATGAAGTTGAATATTTGTGAATGGTCATTCATTGAGCGGAATATTCCCTGATCGGTGACACAGGAAGTGGTCAGTAAGGTGGTGTCCGATAACGCTCGCTCAGCGTCTACAGATACAACATTCGATACCTACATTGAACACGACGCAACGCCGACACGGGCATCTAGTGCGAAACTACGATTCGAAATAAGACCAAATTCAAATGTGTTTTGCTTAACGTTTAATTCATATCCTAGCTTACGTAAAAACTACAAAATGTTTCTTCGAGGTGCTAAAATCCGATTAGTTTGTTTATCAATTTTCTCAATATCAACCATCTCTATATACATTTTTTTAATGTCACAAGCGTAGGCTAAAAATAAACTGTCATTTAAATACACAATGAATCGGACATTAAAAGGGAAAAACATTTTTGAGAACATTAAACCAAGCAAATGAACATTCGCTTAGTCTGCAGGTTTGCTGTGGCAGAGGTAATTTTTATTTATTTTCATACCAGAAACATTGCATGGACTAGAAGGTTATCAACTAACTGTGAAGCTCACACATTGACATTTGTCATTTATAATTAAGAAGAACTGGCTTATATGAAAAAGCTTTATTGAACAATAGTTTTTGTATAACATAAATCCAAATATAACAACACAAACACAAATACGATGAAATTTTGTAGTCCAGTAGTAGACTAGGTCACAATCACAAGAAATAACACAAACACAAATACGATGAAATTTTGTAGTCCAGTAGTAGGCCAGGTCCCAATCATAAGAAATAACACAAACACAAATACGATGAAATTTTGTAGTCCAGTAGTAGGCCAGATTCCAATCACTAGAAAACCCCAATACGCTGGAGTCGAGGTACGTTGTCCACTGAAAAAAAAAACAAATATAACGTAAATATAAAGGTAAATTTTTTCTTTGAACAACAATTCCGTCTAGTATTTTTACCAAAAAATCTTATTAAAAGCTGTTTTAAAGACACCTGAATAATTAGGTAACAAGCGTGAAGTATGTAAAGTCAAATATTTTGACCAAGATACGCTCCCTTGCTTTTATTCTAGGATGATCAATTAGCGGAAGCTTGCAGGTTTAGTTGACCACCATCTAATAAACACTTCCCTATCAGCTTTGTTGGATTGCTCAATTATTTTCACTTTCATGAATTCAAATCCTTGAGATTGACATATAAACTACGTAACTAAGCAACCCTTGACTACGCGTAAGCAATATTTCAAACTTTCATTGTGTACATTTTCATCTTTCAAGGATATTCAGAGTATAAGCAAAGGTGGTTTACAAAACATTTTTTACATAAAAAAAGTACTTACGTTCACTCGCATTTGATTCTTGGGGTTCAACAGTTGGCTGGACTGGTGGGGGAGGGGGGCGTCTCCCCCAGACGAAATAGAATAGGCCAAGTACAGCACTGGCAGCCCCCGCGACAATGAAGGGGTGATCACTGGAAAGATTATTATTGTTGTTATATCACGCCTAATAAAGAACCTAATATAAAGATTTTGACACGTTGGTTAGAATTAGCAGCTAATATTGACCAATGGGAATGGTAATAAGATTCCACCGAAGAGTTTAATCCCTCAGTTGCAAGCCTCTGTTTCCTTTAAGCCGTTTGTATATCACAACATTCGTACCCTTGAGACCACGCGAAATATGTGCGAAATATGTGATTTTTATTCCTTGAAAACCGAAATGTTGAAAATATAGGCTTATGAGAAATTATACCTAATACATTTAGTTACATATGAATAGTGGCCCTTAAACGAGCTATTCCATAGTTAAAGTTGGTGTTATTTATGTGCCATCTGTGTGCTGCAAAAATCATGCTTTATATATGACCTATTATTGAAAAAAAATCATATTTCGCAGTTGGCCGAAGGGTTAAAATACTGTAACTGGAAAAAGTGTCACAAGCATTAATTTTTTTTTAAAGTAACCCCCATTATGATGTCCATTTAGAAAGTTTTTGCAGCAGTAAATGTCTTGGATGGTTGATATCAATATGGCTGATGTAGCTGAGATATCATTCTTAATAGAAACGATTTTTATTTTAGATTGAGTCATGAATTGAAATAACAGCGTTTGATGTTTGCTTACTGTTAATATTACCTGTACCATTTGAGAAGATAATTTCAACATATAGCCTATCAGGTAATTCGAGCTATCAGAGTTTCTTTGTAAAGTGAACCTAGTTTGTTTTTATCTCAATAACAAACATTGATGTATTATATTAGGACTACCACATAAATTATACCTTACAATAACTAAATTGCTGTTAAAATGTTTGACTCACAAAATAAATGTAATGATCCTTTCCATATTTTGCCTAACTTCGAGGTGCGTCTAGTCTCCTGGACTTCCTCTTCTTTCCTCTTAAACTCTTCTTCTTTGTGGGAGTTCTTTGTCTTCTTCTTTGTCTTCTTTTATTATTCCTTATGTGCTGTATCTGTTTGTGCAGTTAAATTATTATTATTATGAATTCAACGTACACAATTGAAACGTTTCCTTCAAAATATTAAAGTTGAAGTGAACTCGTTGCTATGGATTCGACAAAAGTATTTTAACAATGGATTTTCATTGAATAGCTCAATGCGTAAAATGGTAAATAATTTTACGAAATATTTTTATAAATATTGTTGTCTATGCTATACAATATTTACCAAAAACAATCAATAATTTAATAATTTAAAGTACACACAACTTTAAGCTCCTAGTACAGAATCAAATAACAGATTAAGTATACTATTTGAGTTTTATTCACTCTTTTAAGTGGTTAAAATTTAAAAGGCTGATGTTTAAAAAATAATGTCCACGATTTATGAAAATGTCCCTATTGCAGCAAACTTGCAGACTAAGCAAATTTAAATTCGTCTGATTGCATTTTTACTTAACGAGATATATTTATTTCCGATTAAAATAATATTAAATTTAATGATTAATTCGGTTTGCTGCTATGGGGAAGGTAAAACGTGTTTTTGGCCAAATTATAGTAAAGAATGAAGTAAATAAATGTGCAAAATTTAATCAAAATATCTTCATAAAAAAGCAAACTACAACGGTTTTCTTTTTATCGTTAGAATAACATGGGAATTAAAATATATACGCCCGCCACAGCAAAGCTGCAGACTGAACTAATATCCATTAGCCTGGATTAGCCATTAGATTTATAATAAAATATTCCCTTAAAGTTGCCAGATTTATTTCCAATTTTTAGGGAGAATCTGTAGGGAAATCTATTTTACCTCTAAAATTTCTAGTATTTTCTGACTTTATGCTGACTAATGGAGACGTTAACTATTCAATTCATTTACATATATCGTGTAGTGATTGACTATAAAACCATGAGATGCGTATGTGCCAGATTTTTTACTATAAAAATACTCGATGAAAAGTTTTTCGAAAATTAAGGTTGAATAACAGAACAATACAATGTATAGAACAGTTTGGTGCTTGTAAGTTTGTGTTTCGCCTGTGCTGTGTGACCTAAACTTAGCCGTCGCCCACCAGTTTCTACGATGTGTTATGTGTAATGTGTTCATTGTCTGGGGACGACATTGTTCCTGGATGTCGTAACAGAGCACCACTCCTTCATGAATCTACAGGTGGTGATTCGATGCAGAACTAGTCCGAAAATATTGCTTATCTCCGAAAAAATATCCGAAAAAAATAATAAGTTCTGACCGTGGTCTATTGATGATTCTATAGACGGAATAAGTATTTCTAATCGGACAAACAGCTGAAATGCTGATCTTATATAGATCAAACACAATACAGTTGATGGGTTGGTGCGGAATAAACTTGCGTTTCCAAACCAAAACCTTAACCCGTCACGTAACATTGTAACATTGTAAATAAGTGTTATGAGTCGAATGTTACAAACAAACGTGGTGTTTTAGATAACAGTATTTCAATTAACTGACTATAGTGACAACGTTGTTATGAAGAGTTTATTTTTGGAAGCCAGTGTAAGTCTGGGTCTGAATCACAACATACGTGCAACATCTGTTGAGAGACGTGCGCCGATCTGGCACATAACGGAAAAACTTGTAAGACAACGTTTTCAGATGAAAGTTGTGTATAGTTTTGTTGATGTCACTTTTACCGTAGGTCTCATGGTAAGACCTAGACCCGGGACCGATTTACTTTTTCGTTTTGAGGTCCCCAGAGGCCAAAAACACCATCCGTTCAAATTCATATAATATATATTTATATATGTGTCCGTTAGCGCGATAACTCGAGCAAAAATGATCCGATTTTGATGAAATTTGGTACAAACCTACATTTATTCGAACGAGTTCGCGAACCAGCATAATCGGACCATGAGAACAGGGGTTTATGGGGGGTTTTTATGGGTAAAAATGGGGTTTTCCCATTTTTTAACCTAAAAACAAAATATTTTGTATTTTCTTTCTCAACCATTTTGTAGAGCTTAAAAAAAGATATAATTCAGTATATTGAAGCGCTGTTGTATGCCTAACGGTCACGGAGAAAATTCAAAAAAAGTGTAATTTAAAATTCCCATGTTATTCTTATGGAGAAAATGAAAACAGTTGTAATTTACTTGTTTATGGATATAATGTTGATAAAATTTGGTAAATTTATTTATTTCATCCTATATACTTTCCCATTTTTGAAACATTCCAATTTTGTTATTTCAATCAATTGAACATATTGATTTTGAACATATTGTCAAAAAACACTTTTTACCTTCCCCGTAGCAGCAAACCTAAGCACTCGTTAAATCTAATGTTATTTTAATTGGAAATATATAACTTATGTTTTATTTATGGAAATATTTTGGTTAAAATGTAATCAGACAAGTTGAAATTCGCTTAGTCTGCAGGTTTGCTGCAGCGGGGGTATTTTTGTAATCACAAATTAGGGTTTGTTTTGAACCTGGGAGTACAGAATGGAGTGAGGTGCTTTGTGTAGTTCTGTTTCAGACCAGCTGTTTTTTTGCCATGACTATTGAAAGCCAAACGCTCAAGAACATGTTTCATTTCAGCAATATTTTTTTTTAGGATTGAACCAAGTACCAAATACAAGATTAATATTCTCAAAATTATACACAGAATATGATGCGGGTACGTTTGCAGTTGTGGATAGCAGCAGTGTTTTTAGTTTAAATATACCTATATTAAAACTCATAGTTAGTAGCTTCTTTGGTGAAATAAGATCATTAGGGAGAACAGGAACAAAGGATTGACTCAGCTATCCTTGATCATCGGGTATCCAATTTCAATAAATTGTTATGGCTAAGAAACATCTGCTCTAAGTCACTAACTAAGCTACAAAATACACATCACTCAGTAGCCACTCTCATGTTCAGCTTAGTATACACACATTCTTCACCGTCCTAACTAAGAAATTGGGTATCTATGCTAGGAAATCGTTTAGACGGGGTGTGTTTAGTAATTAATAACGTTCCCTGCGAACACAAAAATATCCCATTGTCGGGATATAAATCCCACAAGCGGCACCATTGCCGTGGCATGTGGTATGTGTCGGCCGAGACATGACGTAACCTTATCAGACAGGTCAAGGTCACGTCACGCTTATCACCTGCCCTCCTACTCTAGCGGTGCCACTCCCAGAGTGTCTAGGGCAATGATCTTCTTGTGTACAAACTAGTATTTAAACTGTTTTCAGATTACATTTTGTTTTATGGAGTTATCATTCTTGTCGATCCTTACAAGATCGTTACAGGACACAGATGTCACAGATGTCGTTTCCTTCCTACGATCTTAATAAACAAGAAAATACCTTTTAAGCAGTTTTTTTTAGGCGCGGAAACCACTTCAAATTACAAAAACATACGGAACTATATTCTCAAAACGCGGAGCACATTTCTTGCCGAGGAAAAATAGCGGAGTGATATGGACCGCGGGTACTACTTTCTCTAGGCCACCATTTGTGTTGCCAGCTGAACCTAAAAACGTGTTGCATAGTGTTTGAAAGACTAATTATTTATATGCTTTATAGTGACTGTAGGAAAAATATAATGTGTAACACGAGTGAAAAAGGCCTTTGCTGCACTCGAGATCATTCCACACTCGCCTGCGGCTCGTGCGTAAACATTGCTCTCGTGTGCAGCAAAGTGCCACTTTCACCACTAGTTACACAAATAACTATTTATTTTCATATAATGTATCACTTCAAATTTTAAATTAATTTAGGCTTTGTTCTGTTGCCAATGCATTGAGACGTAAGGAATGTAAGGAAGTGTGCTAATCTGAGAAATACACTAGAGATGCAGCGTTTGCCGCAGACGTCTTCCATCATTTTCTAGAATATATTTTGCAGACACTAAACATTTATAATCTCTTACAAAACCATGTTTAGTTGGATTCCCTGCATTCCTTTCATCCGCAAATTCTGGCATGCCTCGCCGTAGTATGCCACTGAATTGCCAAGTCTGCCATTTCTTTGCCAAATGTGTGGCCTTGCCATTGACTCCCATGCCAGCTGTCTGGCACTTTTTATTAATATTAATAACAGCACGTCCACGACAGCCATTATGTTTGTGAAATGAACTTGTCCCTTGATGATTCATACTTTTATGACAGCGCGTTGGTCGTATTTTCGGCGGTGACTTCAGAATGGGCGCGACTCGTGAAATAGTGCGGACGTGGAAATCTCGGTTTTGGGCTGACGCCAGTTGTTTTGGCTCGTTTTTCGGGATATTTTAACAACTTTGTTGACAGAGCGCTAAGTAAGGAATACTTCAGTTGCTTCTGCATTAGTTTTCCGTGCTTTGAATGTCGGGATACCTTGGACTTACTAAAGCAACTTTTCTTCAAATACACCTTTCATGGGAGATAATTACCTCCTCGAAAAGAAGTTCCATATAAGATAAGAATACTTAAAATCTTTAGGTAGGATTGGTTAATTTTACGTGAATTCGTTCGAACAAAACTAAACCATTGTATAACTTATGGTTTTTGAATAAGGTTTGAAATGATTTTTGATATTTATCCGCTTAAAGACATAAGGTCACAATGGATATATAGGTTAAAGTGCTTAATAAAATTCATAAAAGTACCGGTAAGCCATCTACGCAATGGCATTTTTACGTTTTGAAAGGGAACTGTCCAAACCCTGGTCTTGTTACTATCTAACGTCGACTTTTTGTTAGATAGCATCATTAATTGATAGCCCAATGACAAATATGGCATCTTTGTCCAGTAACGATCTTGCTTGGAATCGAACTATCGACCTTCAGATTTTAAGGCAGGCACAATAACCACTCGTTTACGACGACAAAATGATAACAAAGCCATTGACGTGTAAGCAGTAGCAATGAATACACAAACTATAGTTTGTGTATTCATTGGCAGTAGTCAGTGACAGAAAACAATATATCAAAAGAAACACCAATATAAACGATTTTTTGCCCTACTAAGGGCTCAAGCATCCCCATCATAAAAAAGTGAGCGATTAAAAAAACTTCATTGAGCAGGTGGCAGCTCTTGTTATTGTGTCTCTTA